ATGATCCTTAATCCATACTAATCCCCTTCTGCAACCGACCAGAGAATATTCATGTTGTCATTTTAAAAGATCTATAATTGTAGGCATTAGTAAATTATTATTATCACAAAATTATGTAATTTTGAAAGTCAAACAAATGTTATTAAAAAAAATACTAATAAAATTTAATTTATTTTCAAAAAATATAATCATTACCTTAATTATAACAAAATTATTTACCAATAAAATTATTTTATTTTTTTATTATTACTAACTTTTCTTGGTTACTGAAAAATAGTAAAATTTGTAATGTTTACAACAATAGCCAAAATTATTTCATGTTTGATTTACAATGATTATAATAATTTTGAACAGACACTTATTAAAAATATTTAAAAAAATATTAAAAAATATCAAAAAAAAAAATTAAATTTAATTAAAAATTGTTTAAAAATTCCGTTAAAATAATAACAACAAAAAATTCATACTAAACTATCCGAAAATTTTTTTTTTTAAATTTATAATCAAATCATATTACTCATAGCATATTTTACAAATGAATATAGCAAATTCAATTATTTCGCAAATCAATACAAACAATTATACTGTTTTTATTATATTGTTTTTTTTTATTATTTTATCCCTTAACTATATTATTGAATTTTATAAATATAATTATTCTAATAAAAAAAGACCCACTTCTAAAAATAACAATAATAATAATAATAATAATAATAATAATAATAATAATAATAATAATAATAATAATAATAATAATAATAATAATAATAATAATAATAATAACTCCTCTGATGAAGCCAATGAAGATAAAGGTGATAAAAATAAAAATAATAATGATGTAAACAATAATAATAATAACAATAGCAATAAAAATAATAATAATAATAATAAAAACTCCTCTGATGAAGCAAATGAGGATAAAGGTGATAAAAATAAAAATAATAATGATGTAAACAATAATAATAACAATAGCAATAAAAATAATAATAATAATAATAATAATAAAAACTCCTCTGGTGAAGCAAATGAAGATAAAGATAAAGATGAAGGTAGTAACAATAATAGTAACAATAATAAAAATAAAAATAATAATAATAATAATAATGGCAACTACGATAGTAATAGAAGATTTCCTTTTCATTCTAATAAACCAAAGGAAACAAAAAAATAATTTTATTTAAATAACATTAATTTATATACATATTCAATTTATTAATATTGGTTATTTTTTCAAATTTAGATATTTTAATTATCACACATATTGAAGAGGACGAAAATGGTAAATTTATTTATAAAACTACTGTAGATAACAGTGCATTTGAAAAATGGGTTGAAAGTCTCACTTTAAATGGCATAATAGATTTAAGAGGCATTAGAGAATTAGTTGTAGATATATCTCTCTTGTGGTGTACAACAGATCAAATCTTTGAAAGAATAAAAGAAAAACATCTTTTTACTAGTGATATTGTTGTTGATTGGAAATTGCTTAATCCCAAAAGATTTAAAGTTAATACTGATGCATTTATAAAAGTTAGAGACTTTTTAAATAACAAACAAATAATTTATGGAGAAGAGACATCGTCCGACTCTGATTTAGATTATAATCCATTTTTTTTTGTACCTAGCGATGAGGAAAATTCTGATAGCGAAGAGGAATATTCTGAAAGCGAAGAGGAATTTTCTGAAGAAGAAGAAGAAGAAGAAGAGGAATATTCTGAAGGCGAAGAGGAGTTTTCTGAAGGCGAAGAGGAATATTCTGAAAGCGAAGATATTCCATCTGAAGAAGAAGAAAATAGAATAATTAGAACAATTCAAAGTTTAAACTAATGCATAAAGAGTCTCAAACTTTTATAAAGTTTAAGAAACGAAGTCACTGTTACTATTTCCAAAAAAATAATATTCAACAAGAAAAAATAAATAATTTATTTATTAAAAAAACAATTTAAAATGCATATCTACACATTTATTTATTTTTTTTTAATTTTTTTTTTTTTAATTCGAAACAAATAAATATTATATTCATTTAATTTTTATAATAACTCGGTTCAAACTTTATAAATAAAAAAATAAACTCTAAATAAAACTGATCCCTTTTTTCTTTATAGTATTTAAATTAACAAGTTTTATTTTTATTTTTTTTTCAATTTCTTAATAAATTTGTGTCAATGAAAGTAACCGTAATGCAATACCCATATTCGTTTGTAGAAATTTTATAAAATATCCTTTTTCCTCATTTCGAAATATCTATCTGCATTGGAATGATCTTTGGTTTTTATTAGATCTTTTATTCTATCTGCCTTGAAATCATCTTGAAAACATAATTGAATTTGTTTATTTCCTTCTAAGATCTTGACGTCTTTTAGTACAAAGTTTGATATTTACCTGCTACAAGGTAAAACTTTTAGAGAAGGTCATTGTTATATTCTTTTGGGATCATTTGGACCCTAAAAAATGAATCTTTAATTTGATTATCCCCTATGGATAAATTAGTGATAGAATAATTGGGTTCTATATCATCAACTTTTCTTTTTCTACTATATACCATTATTTAATAGATTGAATTAAAATTTGTTTCTCTAAAAGATATTTATAAAAATTTAAAAAATAACCTATATCTTTAAAATAATTTTTTTTATTTTCTATTCAACTACATAACTATACTTCAATTTTCAAAATCTTTTAATTATTTAATTTTTTTTAAAATTTTAAAAAATCAATTCAAATCGAATTATAAATTTAAATTTATAACACACATTTTCCATATTTAAAGTCTGTAAAAATATTATTTTAATTTGATACAACACACACTAACCCCTATTAAATATGCCAAAAAAAAAAATTTAATTTTTTTAAAATTTTTTTAATTATTTTTAATTTGTCTTTTTTTTAAATTTATATTATTAATAATTTATATATGTATCAAATAATATGAAAAAACATACCCATGAAAATGAAGATCAAGGTGAAGGAAGTAATAATAAAAAAAAACAATAATAAAAATAATAATAATAATAATGGCAACTACAATAGTAATAGAAGATTTCCTTTTCATTCTAACAAACCAAAGGAAACAAAAAAATAATTTTATTTAAATAACATTAATTTATATAAATATTCAATTTATTAATATGGGTTATTTTTTTTCAAATTTAGATATTTTAATTATCACACATTATAAACTTGAAGAAAATGGTAAAACTAGTAATGAAACTACTATAAATAACAGTGCATTTGAAAAATGGGTTGAAAGTCTCACTTTAAATGGCATTATGGATTTAAATGACATTAGAAATATAATTGTAGATATATCTCTCGAGTGGTGTACACCAGATCAAATCTTTCAAGAAATAATAAACAAAAATAGTTATACTGCTATTGATTGGAAATTGTTTAATCCAAAAAAATTTAAAGTTAATACTAATGCATATATAAAAGTTAGAGACTTTTTTAATAATAAACAAATACTTTATGAAGAAGAGACATCGTCCGACTCTGATTTAGATGAAAATCCATTTTTTTTAGACAGTAGTGAAGAGGAATATACTGAAAGCGATTAGATGCTCTCTGAAGAAGAAGAAATATAATAATTAAAACAATTCAACAAGAACAAACCATTTAATATTCTTTAAAGTTTATTAATTATTTCATTGTTACTATTTCCGAAAAAAAATAATATTCAACAAGAAAAAATTAATAATTTATTAATAAAAAAAAATCAATTTAAAATTAAATATTTTTAAAATACATTTATACACATTTTATTTATTTATTTATTTATTTATTTATTTATTTTAATTTAGTTCAAACTTTATCTTTGTTTATAAAAGGATTTTAATTGATTTTGATAACTCTGGATTTTTCTTATTAATTGTAAGTGTTAAAAGACCATCATTGAACTGTGTTTTGATACTTGATAAATCTAATAAATGTAATACACTAGTTAAGTCTAAATATCTTTTGAATTTGCCATAGGATCTTTCTGATAAATATTTCTTATTTTTAAATTGATTATCTGCTTCTTTAGTAGTCTCAGTTATCTCTGATGAGGCCTCTGAAGCTGATCTTTTCTTTTCACCTTGAATATATAGTTTTGAATCTTTAATTTCAATTTGAATATCATCTTTATTTACACCTGCTAATTCAGTTTCGATTATAAATGAATTTGATGTTTCCACTACATCTAGATCTGGAGCAAAACCAATATTGTTAGATTCACCATAACAATGATTATTATTATTTAAATGGTGATTTAATAAATTTTCAAAAATTGCAGCCATTTTTATTCTATGATTTATACTATATTGAAATTATATATTAATTAGTACTTATGATTATAATATCTTTTTTATATGTTTGTTATTTATTTATTGTTTGAAGTGAAATGTAGTTTTGATTTTTTTAAATGGGATTTATAGGGATTCATTTTAATAATAGTTTGGGATATATAAGAAATGATATGAATGTTCACATAATTAAATTTTATTTTTTTTTAATTTTTTTTTAATTTTTTAAGGGGGTTTTTATAAAAATTTTTTTAATTTCCCCAAAAGGTTCATTTAAAAGTATTGTGAATTTTCAGTAAAACTCGCACATCCAGCAAAAAATAAATATGTAATCACACGTTAATTTAAAGAATTTTAATCGAGGAATGGACTCTATTAGGGTTAAATTATTTAGAAATTAATAATATAACCCAAGAAAAAAAATATAAATTAAAAATTTTTGGGTTTTATTTTTTCATTCATGAAACAAATAAACAAATAAACAAATAAACAAATAAATATTATATTCATTTAATTTTTGTAATAACTCGGTTCAAATATATATTAATATAACTTGATAAAAAAATGGCAACTATTTTTGATATCTTATTAAATCG